TTTGAGGAGGCAGACACAAAGCATGACGGAAGAATTGACAAGGAAGAGTGGCGCAATCTAGTCATTGGGCATCCATCCTTGCTAAAGAACATGACTCTTCAGTACCTCAAGTAAGGAACCTTCTTGGTTGTACTTATTGCTTGTCATACTGTCATGTTTTTTATATAGTTTTGTCCTTTTTATGCTTACTCTTAAGAAGTCTGGGTATAATGCTCTTCGCTCTAACTTAAATTTTATATGGCTCCCTCTTTAGGTAAAATACCATGTTGCAATGTTTTAAAAAATCATCACAAAATTTCTGTTTGAAATTCATCTTTGATGTTGAGATTAAAAAAAAAACGTGTCACTGTCAGCACATGATGAACAGTGCCAGGTTGACTTCTCGTCTATTTTGTTTCTTGACATTTTTTAGGATGAATTTCAAACTGAATTGTTGCAACTAAACTTAACTTTGTGTTCTACATACATGATCTTTGTGATGGTTTTTTGAAACATTCTGGAAGAAGATCGAAGAGGATCTTGTCCAAAAGATGATGTCGGATATTTAAGTGATGCCAAAAAGCGCTAGCTTCTAGTCTAAGTCTGAAAAAAAGGAAGGGCAGGATGAGACCCTTCAGAATTTCTAATCAATCCATTCCCGAAAGGAAATTCGATTCTAGGTATTTTTGAAAAATAAGCTATATTGACAGCAGGGAGCGGCGCCCCGCACTCCCTGCCTAAGCGTAGTGTAGTGATAGATGTTCTTTCTGACAGAAAGGAGAGGGTGGGATACGAAGTCGGGCATCTAGGTGCAATTTCTAATTTAAGAAAGATTGCAACATGATATTTAATGAGGGCGCCAGCCCCCCTAGGCGTCAAATATGCATGGGTTATTACTGCTCTTGAATAGGGTGATAGAAATTTTCATTTTTATTAATTAAAGGAGCTGAAGATTGATAAAATAAGATTTGTGATGCACAATTTGGCGCTAAGCATTCAATATCTTGGAGAGGTAAACAACACAACAGTGTAGTGAGGGCATGTAACTGAAATGCAATAAATCAGGATTGCACAATTTCAATCAAATTGCATATAGACGGAACGACAGTGTACTGGCTTGCAATTGTTGGGGGTTTCAGTGTAGCTCATATAAAAACTATGCCTTACTGTTGACAAACTTCGAAATTCTTTATGTTTCTATTAGGAAATAAGCTTAATGAGTTTTTGGGAAGGCAAACCAGTCTAAGAACTTGTCAGAGAAGCATCAGGCTAATAGTCTTAAAAAAAATGCATCATGCTTCTTATCTAGTTTCTATATTGGACTGCCAGAGTCAACATATGATATGCTGTCAGTTCATAGTATAGATCGCCATTGTCTTTCCTTCTTGAGATATCTGACAAGTTTGCATTGCTATAATTGGACAGGGACATCACCACTACATTTCCAAGCTTTGTCTTTCACTCTCAAGTCGATGATAACTGAGATTCATGGGATTATTTTGACAGAAACATCAGAAGATATGCTCGTGGGGTTCTGATATGGTTTTCATTTTTCAATGTTGGGTTGTTGGATTGACTGAGATTGTAGTGCTCCGAAGTATGTTGCATGCTGGATTCGAGAACTCGAATCTTTTGTCAACCTTGTTTCTTTCATTTGCATGTCTGGATGCGCTTGGAAAAGATATGTAGTATATGTCCAAAGTTTCCCTTTTTTTTTTTTTGGCTGGCCAGCAATCGGATCCGGTTCTTAGAAGCTTCTGTCTTTCGTACAGGATAGAAACAGCTAAGGGTTTCTATTGTGCTTGGACTTCTTTTTAGTTGTAGCTCGAGCAGAATTTTTTTTTTTTGGTTGAAGGTGTGTACTTGTGTGCTTCCATTAGTTTTTGAAAAAATATTTTTGTTTTTTTCTCCAATTAATTCTTTCTCCCATTATTTTTCCAAGCATTTTAGTTTTTGAGTACCATGCTTTTTTTTTCCGAGTTGACATATTTTCATGGTGCATATATATGTATATATTCCATGGAACAATATTTAGAGGTTCATACTGGAACATGTGAATTCAAGTGTCGTATTCTCCAAAATTTGTATATGTTGTGGACAATCGAATTCAACCTGCAACCACAGAACCTTGCGCGGTAACACACGCCTCTCGTTTCATCCCCATCCAGACCGAGCGATTAATTTAGGCATATCTAAACTTCACCTGGAAACTGATGCCCTTCAAGTCCAGCAGGCGGTGGAATCAAAACAGTTGAGCCTTTCAATAGCCGGAGAGTTGATCAGGGAAATCTAGGAAATTGCTTCTCTGAACTGTGTTAGAGTTTCTGATTAGAGCTGTCCCTCGTTCTTGTAACAAAGTGGCGCATAGCTTAGCGGCTTTGGGGTGTGTGTGTTCGGAGGATGATGATCCTATCTTGGCTCATCCCCCAGATTGTATCATGAATTCTGTTTGCTGCCGAGCGTGCAGCCTATGAGTAATGGAATTGCATTTCTGTTTCTCAAAAAAAAAAAAAAGACCGAGCGAGGAGAAGGCAAAAAATCAGGCCAATAAGAGTAGGATGGCGTTTGGTTCCATCTTCTGTAACGTAATCTGATTACAGACCAGTACAAATTCGACTACGCCCAATTTTTCGCGGGATCAAATCCCACTCTTTTGACTACGACGTTTTCTGATTACGTATGCATTTCCATTTACGTTTCCCAACCAAATCGAGCGTGGAGGAAACACGTGGACAAACAATAACCAGCATGTTCGCTTGCTCGTATACGATCGTAGATTATAAGTTAGAATAATATTTTTCTCTCATACAAAACCAGCCAGCAGTAAACAATCCACGATCGTTTACGACGAAACGAATATGCTGAACGTCGGAGGGGAGAATTGAGTGAGCGACGGCATGAAAGAAACACGACGTGGCGTTGCCTGCATTTACCTTCTTTGGCAACCCTGGATTGCTTTGACATTTAAGCAATGACCTAACAGCATCTCCATTAGATTCTCTTTTCCCTTTCGAACACTTAGATAAGGATCTTCATCGGATCCCCTTTTCCTTAAAACTTAGTATAGGGGGATCTTCATCAGGTCCCCTTTCCCCTTTTCCTAGATGGCAGGAGATGAGGGTGATAGGCTGCAGATTGAAAAAAAAATCCTCTTTCACTTTCCTTCCCGTGATTACGTGAGATCGACGTGTAAGTGGCTTCTTTTTTTTTTCTTCAAAGCCTTGTTTGGTGAGAGTATTTGCAGATATCTCTTTTCTTTGTTGTCTTCACAATGTGATCTTAAAACTCTGGCAAGCAGTGGACATTCGAAGGAAAAAGATGATTGGTTTAGTCTTTGATGTACTCTTATTTTTAAGGTCATCTTGTGTCTTAGTATTAATTTTTTTGTACCAGCCTTTGTTTTTTTAGATATATCAGATGTGGCACTCTTTTGAGTGTCTTCATCGAAAGAACAATAATTAGAGATTTCGTTCGAGACATGAGACATATACAAAGAAACCATTCATTGAACGCCTATTTATTGGAGATAGGAGAGATATATAGAGATTAAAATTTATATATTTTTGGAGTTGCTTTAAGTCATTTTTTAAACTAAGAAGGTAGACTTCGGTGTCGCTATTCTGCGTTAAACGCAATGCAGATAGACATATACAAAGAAATAATTCATTGTATGCCTCTTTATTGGAGTCAGGAGAGATATATAGAGATTAAAATTTATATATTTTTGGAGTTGCTCTAAGATCATTTTTAAAACTAATAAGGTAGACTTGGGTGTCGCTATTCTCCATTAAACCCAATGTAGATAGACACATACAAAGAAATCACTCATTGAATGCCTTTTTATCAGAGACAGGAGAGAGATGTATAGAGATTAAAATTTATATATTTTTGGAGTTGCTCTAAGATCATTTCTAAAACAAGGTAGACTTCGGTGTGTCGCTATTCTCCATGAAACGCAATGCAGATATACACATACAAAGAAACCATTCATTGAATGCCTCTTTATCAAAGACAGGAGAGAGAGAGAGAGAGAGAGAGAGTAGAGAGAGAGAGAGAGAGAGTTTGGAGTTGCTCTAAGATCATTTCTAAAACAAGGTATACTTTGGTGTCGCTATTCTCCGCTAAACGCAATGCAGATAAACACGTATAAAGAAACAATTCATGGAATGCCTTCTTATTGGAGACATGAGAGATATATAGAAATTAAAATTTATATATTATTAGAGTTACTCTAAGAACATTTCTAAAACCAGGTAGACTTAAGTGTCGCTATTCTTCGTTAAATGCAACGAAGATATAATATATTATAAAAACCAAATGCGGGTAGATAATTGCCGAATATATAGCTGTACAATAACTGCCAAATTTTATGTACTACTTACTCCTATAAATAGCCTCAACAGCTGACACGAGAGAACGAACTAGGCTTTAGGCGGCTACGCCTAGCTCGATCCGATTTGTTCGCCTCGACTAGGCGCTCACGCGTACGCCGCCACGGCGCCGCCCCCTCCACCGCCTCGTGCAGGACCGGGAGGGAGGAGGGAGGGAGCTCTCGATCTCCGTCGGGCGTGGGGGACGCACGCACGACCCGCGGGCGCGGCCTCCCCCGTCGGTTGTTGTATTGTATCCGACCTGAATCGGGGGAATTCCAGGAGACAGGTGAGCATTGCGCCGCGGTTCTTCCTTTATCTCCCCGCAACAACAGTTTCATTTTGCGCCTAGATTGGAGTGGATTGGATTGGGCTAGTCATCAGTGGGGTCCGGTTCCGGATACCATGTGAACATAGTTCTCTGTTCTGGAAATTAGCAGCATGAATTCTACAGACTGGCTAGTTACTGATTATGTGCACTGTCCACAAGACCTCAAAACCCTTTGGAATTGTGTAGCCTTACTTTGGATGTCTCTTTCTTTTTTAACTCTGGTCCACTACTGAAACAGAGACTTATTATTCCAGTTTCGTGGCACTGCAGGAAGGAAAAGTTGGAGTGCTACAGAGCTGACTTCCACAAGTGATAGAATAATGGCCAGCGCTTACAATCCTGGGGATGGTAGATCCTCATCAACTGAAGAGATGCCAAATGATCAGCAGAATTATTCCGAGAATTCTCTATCTGAGAGAAGATCCAGTCAGCAAGTTGAGAATGGAGTACCATCCACCTCACCAGCTTACTCGGACACTGATGATGACGATTGTGGTATGTTTTCTAGCTCTTCTCACATTTGTCCGTGTTTCTATTTTGCAAATGTTTTTGGCTAGATTTTTCTAATCTTTCTTCTGATGTTATGACCTAAGTAGACCAGCTAGATCTCTCCATTCCTAATTAAACCATTCCATAAAGCTTCTAATTAAACTGATTTTAGTTATGGTAAACCCAAACCCGGCTGGAACCTTGTTCCATTATCTAAAAAAACTTAACCCAAACCCATGTAGGATTCAGCGGCTCAGGCAGTCTTAAAAACAATTACAAAATGCAATAAGATGGATGCCGACTTAGATATATTACCTTCAGGGAGTTTAGTAGGTCACTGCAGTTTGTTTGGGTTACTTATATTAGGCTTAGAGAAGGGCAGGCCTGGTGCAGTGGTGAGAGCTGTCTCACTGAGTCACCAGGTTGCGGGTTCGAAGCAGCCTCTCCGCAGATTTGCGGGGGAAGGCTTGCCTCGGTTTTTCTCTTCCCCAGACCCTACTCATGTGGGAGCCTCCGGCACTAGGTCTGCCCTTTTTTTTATTACTTATATTAGGCTTAGGATTATTATGAAGGGCGGGCCTGGTGTAAGTGGTAGAGTCTTACCGCCTGTGACCGGAAGGTCCCGGGTTCGAGTCGCGGTCTCCTCGCATTGCAGGCAAGTAGAGGTAAGGCTTCTGTGACACCTTCCCAGACACCCATGCAGGCGGGAGCTCTCTCTGCCCGAAGTATGCCCTTTTTTTTAGCTTAGAATTATTATATAATGAGCTGCCTGATGAACCTGGGCCATTGTTGGAGCTTGTACCAATGTGCATTCACTGGTTTGGTTTGGGCAAGAACAGCGTGACTAGAGATGCACTAAGAAGGTGATAACTGAAGGGTGTGTTTGGTTTGAGGAATCAACTTATCTAGATGGAGTGATGCATTTGGTCCATTCCTCAAATTTGGTGGAATGTCCTCATTCCTCATACTAGTACTAATTGTTAGCTTGTGAGGAATGGGGTGGTCATGGATCAACTCATTCTATTCCACAAACCAAACAAAAAACTAGAGAGTGAGATGGTGATGGACCACATCATTCCACCAACCAAACACCCCAGAAGTGTCCTTTATGATGAAGGTCCAAGAAAGTGGGACTGTGGGAGTGCATATGGACGTTGTTCTGACTTTTCGGTCGTGGGGTTTCTCCCCATATTTAGTCATTTAGATCAATTACGGTTACACAGTTAAAGCTTATGGGGTTCCCTTTTGGTCCTCTGTGTAACTAAGTAGTTAAGTTGCTTGGAAATGCGTCATATGTTAAACTTTTTTTAGAGTACCAGAAGCATTACTCTTCCAGGGACTGTTGGAATACTAGATATGCATCCCTATTTCATTTGTTACACTGGCAGCTTGTTCTGTTGCATTCAAGAACCTTTAGCAAATTAGCATTATAATTCGCTGTCCTAAAAGGCTGGGACCTAGGCGATGCTTATTCTAAAAAGGTTTTTACATTATAAACTATATGTAGCTTCTTGTATGGTGTGTGAACATGACTGAGTTGGACATGTTATTTCTTCAAATTAGCTTGTAATTATGTGGAGATGATGATTACTTTTGCTTTTTTAATATTCTGCTGAACTACATGTTTCTGATAAGCTCATTTGTGCATTTGAATCATTCGCAATATTTAAGTTTTTGCCATCAGTTGGTGCTTGACCTGTTAATTCCATTGTCTTGTATTATTGTATAGGACCTAGGCCTTCTGAACTTTATGGAAAGTTTACATGGAGAATTGATAATTTCTCCCAAATCAACAGGAGTGAGCTAAGGAGTAATTCCTTTGATGTCGGCGGATATAAGTGGTATGGTCTTTTTGTTTGCATTAATTGGACTCACCATCTCGGCATCTCCTTTTTATATTTTTTCTACTACCAGCATGTTTCTACTATGCTGTATCTGGGCTTCTTACTTGCCTGCTGGGTGTGATTTGGCTGTTAGTTTTCAGTGACTTTACAAGGATAGCTGTTAAGTAGGGAAGTTGCAAACACAACCAGTTGTTTAATATTCAGCACAGGTTCCACTATTTGCATTATTGCATATTTTACTTGAACTACAACTTATGAAAGGTGACCACGCATTTGACAAGTGATTGAACAGCTTAGGTTGAAAATAATCTGTAGCCTTGAGCACAGCTGCACAGATGACCCTGTGAGTTGCCTGATTATTGAAAATAGGTTCATTAGGTATCACAAACTCACAGGGACCTTGAACTTGCTGGTAGTCGGTCAATGAAAGCGGTAATTGCTGTAATGCTTGTCATTGGCAATCCATATTTTGGGGAGAAAATTACAGGTTTTGCATTTATTGCATGGAGAAGAAAGGCTATTGTAATGGTAAAATTATGTATTTAATTTTGTGCCATATGTTGAAGGGCGGGCCTGGTGCAAGCGGTAGAGTCTTACTGCCTGTGACCGGAAGGTCCCGGGTTCGAGTCGCGGTCTCGTCGCATTGCATAGGCGAGGGTAAGGCTTGCCACTAACACCCTTCCCCAGACCCCGCACAGAGCGGGAGCTCTCTGCACTGGGTACGCCCTTTTAATTTTGTGCCATATGTTGTTTGTTATATGGCCTTTCTTGGTCTGATATAATTTTAACATTTTTTCTCGAACAATATTATTTGAAAATTTACTGCCATGGAGAAGAAAAGCCATTGTAATGGTAAAATTATGCATTTAATTTTATTGCCCTTTTTTTGTTTATTATGTCCTTTTTATTATATATTTTAATTTCCTTTTGGTTTTATCGGCTGATACTTGTTGCATCATATTTTGAGATCTATCAGTTGAGTTTCAGGTATATCTTAATTTACCCACAAGGATGTGATGTCTGCAATCACCTCTCACTCTTTCTCTGTGTTGCCAACCATGATAAGCTACTCCCAGGTAGATGCATAATTTGATGCATTGTATTTGACTCACTTCAGTTTGTGACTCCTCTATATATCTTCAATATGATTTGCTTTTGTTCAGGATGGAATCACTTTGCACAATTTACAATAGCTGTAATTAATAGAGACCCTAAGAAATCTAAGTATTCTGGTGAGTTCAATGAACTACTATCTGGCTTTCCTAGTGCCTTTGCTTGCCTTCTACAACTGTAGTTTACGGAAAGTATCATTTCAGATACACTGCATCGGTTTTGGAAGAAAGAGCATGATTGGGGGTGGAAAAAGTTTATGGAGCTGTCAAAATTACATGATGGCTTTATTGTTGAGGATGTTCTTACCATCAAAGTCCAAGTTCAAGTTGTCAGGTATCTGTTTTCTTTGCATCTTACTCTTACATTCAATGCTAGCATCAATTATTTTCAAGTGGGATTGTGGGAAGTATCCGTTTACTTTGCATAACCATGTCTGCTTCTGCATTATAATATTTGAGGGAGAAGACAAACCGTCCATTTCGTTCCCTTGACGGCCAGTACCGAAGGGAACTAATTAGGGTGTATCTATCAAATGTGGAACAAATTTGCCGGCGCTTTATTGATGAAAGAAGAAGGAAGCTTAGCAGGTTCATTGAGGATAAACTGGGGTGGTCCAGGTTAGATAAACTTATGAACGGCGCATTATTGTTTTATGACCAGTCTCATTTCCAAGCCATTTTTTTATTTTTGATTTTTTGGTGTATTGCAGTTTCAGTGGATTCTGGCTGGCAATGGATCCAAGTGTGCGTCGGCACATGACAAGGGAAAAGACTGAAACTATATTGAGAGTTCTAGTGAAACAATTCTTTATAGAGAAAGAAGTTACATCAACCTTGGTAATTGAATCACTATATAGCGGATTTAAGGCACTAGAATACCAAAGCAAAAACAAAAAGGGGATACCTAAACTAACAGAGACAGATGCTCAGAGCACACCGATGGTGCTTATTGATCAGGACATGTTTGTTTTGGCTGATGATGTGATACTTTTGCTTGAAAGAGCTGCATTGGACACACTACCACACCAACCATTGCCCACAAAAGATGATAAAGGATCACAGTACCGCACAAAGGTATTCATCATCCATGTTTCCCCTATCCAATTTATCTCTTTATGGGTTTTATTCTACTGTATGTATGGATCCCTAACAAATCCCCTTATTGTAGGATGACAACTCAAGTGACGAGTTCGACAAAGATTCTATTGAGCGTGATGATAGACGGCTTACAGAGCTAGGCTGGAAGACACTGGAACTTTTTGCCTTAGCTCATATATTCAGGTAAGCAAACTTTTCTAGTTGTTTGTTCCAATATTTTGCTTCATGAATAGATATTAGGTCAGCCTCACTTGAGGTGCATGCCTTTTTTATGTTGCTTATTTTAATACTCCCTCCATTCCAAATTATAAGATGTTTTGGTTTTCCTAGATTTACTATGTAGATACATTGTAAAAGCAATGTGTCTAGAAAAGCCACAGAGGGAGTATATGCTAATGCAGAGTTGCAGAAATTCTATGCCCCTGTTTGTTTTCTGTCTAATTGTTTCATCAGGTTTTGGAAAAATATGTTTTGAAATTCTTTTACTTGGAGAAACATAAATCTTCTGATGGAATTCATAATTCAAATCCCACTTCAATTATGGTTATTTTACATGCTCATCCCACTTTGTTAAAGTCTCGGAACTCTTGAAACAGCCGAACAGAAGTGGCATACCAAGAGGCGATGGCTTTGAAGCGCCAAGAGGAACTCATTCGTGAAGAAGCATCTGAGCGAGCTGGAGTTGAACTTAAGGCAAAGCGTAGTGCTGCTGATAAGAAAAGGCGTGGCAAGAACATGTGAAGTGTTATATTTCTAAAAGAACACAGCAATATATAATTCATCAGATGCTACGCTATTGCCATATGCTGTAATCCCTCATTTGCCATGAATAGACTTACATGCCACTGTTCTTAGATTCTAATCTCGTTTATTCTCTTTGAGAATTAATGTAAGGCGGTGTTTGGTTCGGCTAGGAGCTTCTAAATCTAGTCTTATTTAGTCACTGTTTATCTAAACACTATGATTAAATGGGACTAAAAGGGCTTTAGTCCTCTCTAGCAATTCTGGAGTGACTAAATGAGATTAAACCATTTAGGAGGGACTAAATTTAGCAGCTACAATCCAAACAGGGCCTAAGAACGAGAACAAGAAAGATTGAAGTGTGTTTTTCCCTTGATTGATCGGGTTTATATACATGTTAAATCGCTGCCATGGTATGAATGACGTCGGCTCGGTAAAGCCTATCCCTCAACGGATGTAACCCTTGCTGGCGGTGTCGGTGATATACAATATCCTGATGTATATTCACTAATCTGTATGGATCTTGATCGGAGGGAAGAGATCATCCTCCTGTGGTTGGTTCTTAACATCCCTTTTGATCGAGGACTTGACATTAATCAATTGCATTTAATCCTCCAAAAACCTTATATGAAAGATATGATGCAATAATGTTGATACGACATTAAGCTTCTTAAAAACCCAGTGGAAAAAATAGGGATAAATGATATAACACATTTATGGATTTGTATTGTTGTATAATAAACTTATATGAGAAAACTTTATTAGGAAAAAAAAACACAAGCAAGTTCAACATTACATGTCTTAGATATTCCCTAAAAAACTAAGAGAATAAGTAAATGTAAGGCATTCTTGAGTTAATATTGTCTCATCAAATACCTTATATTATGCTAGTACATGTTATTATTTTTAGAGAGCATCTACCCATGTGTTTACCAGTCTCGAAGTCGTGGCATACTAATACTATGAACAAGATTTTTAGAGCGTAGTTTGCGGTAAAGACTTCATGAATAAATCTGCAAGAATATCACAAGACTTTATTGTAAAATGTTAATTCCCCACTTGGTTATAGTTCATTTAACATATTTACACATGTGTAACACAAACAACATTATACGTAGATAATTCTTGGCAATTTAATAGAACCAATACCACTTTGTTGTATGTGGCTAATCATTCTCCAGAGCCATACACATTCATGTTATGCTTCATATAGTGTAATAATTTTAGAATGATTTGTAGAGGTTGTCACTAGAGTATGTTTACATGACTTTTATGAGATGGTTGTTTCTCCATATAAAAATACAAAGACTGTTTGGGATCTAGTATATTATGGAGATTTGGCATATAACCAGCATCAGTATATCTATGTCTAATCATAGTTGGGTATTAGTTTCTTTGGAAGAATAATCCAAGATCTTTTCTACCATTAATATATCTTAATATACGTTTATGTCTCGTCCAATGACGTTTTGTTGGAACAATATATGTATAGCTAGTAGATTCACTGCAAATGCAGTATCGACCGGTGCAATTTGCAAGATACAAAGTGTTCCAATGGCATCGAGATATGGAACCTCCGGTCCTAGTATCTTTCTGTCCTTATCCCTTGGTCTACTTGGATCTTTCTTCATGTCTAGAGATTGAACAATCTGATTTAGATGGATATGATTTGCCCATATTAAATTCCATTAGTATTTTCTAAATGTAGGCAGATTGACGCACTAAAATTCATGAGGGAGGTGCTCAATTTGTGAATGTAAGGAAATGGCACCTACCTAGGGCCATATAGTTGATTTTGTTGATTGTCCGACAATATGATCAAATGGACTAATGTTGTTTTGCTAGTATACAAGGTATTTTATCTATTAGATGCAAGGATGGCTTGGACAAAGGCAACGTGAAGACCAAGTGATCAACACCTTAAGAAAGGACAATGAGCTGCTGTTAAAGACTTAGAGGACATGCAAGAAGTCCAAGACATCAAGTAGAAGAAGCTCGGACGAGAAGACGCGAAGAAACGGAGCCAAACCGGCTCTACTATGCCTAGATTCACCAAAATTCTCCGGGTGTGCCTTGGCAGAGGCACCGGAGCTTAGACTCGGGCAAAGATAGTTTTGAAGAGGGTTTATAGACCCACCAGAATTCTCTTGTAGTATACAGGGGGAAGTATTGGAGAAAGCGGTGCAACCATGGAAGATTCTGCAGAGAAGGCACCAGAGAAATTCGGTGCTAGGCACTAGAGAAAAGATGGTGCTTCCTGTGCTAAAAAAAGAGCTCCCAGAGTCACCGAAAAACTCCAGTGGTCCCTAAGAGACCCTTCCAAAATTTAGACTACTCCAATTGTCGGTAACGGCTAGTCCAACGACTAGCTGATCCGACAGTGAAATTCTCCGGTGACCTCACCAGAGCTTTTTGATAGGTACTGCGTGAGCGCAATCCTTTTGCCAATGGCTCTTTAAGGGGTGGAGGCTATATATATATACCCCCTTTGGGCGGTCATTTTAGTGTTGTTAGAGCTAGCTAAGTACTGTTACTTATGAGTTGAGGCTCATCTCTAGTGCTTAAGGAGAGATTAGGTAATTAGTGTAGTGCTCTGTGGAGTGTTTAGGCTAGTTAGAAAACCATACTAGCGATTTGCTCTAGGCTTAGCTTTAGTGTTTAGTGAGCTTTGCATACCTCTTGCCACTCAATGCTTGCATGCACCATTATTATATACTAGGGACTTTGTAATATTGCAAGATCAAAAAACACATTTGTGGTGTGGTCTCCTAACTTGTACTGAAGGGAACGAGGCCTCAAAGTGTTTGAGTTGGAAGCTTGATAGTGAAGATATATAGCCGGAAGCATTCCAGCAGAAAGACCTCACAAAGACCTACTTGTGTGTGGGGAAGGCCCATGGGCTCCATTGAGTTAATCGACCAGAGCTTGACCCATGCGAGGGGCTCCAACGAGGATTAGGGAAAGCTCGAGCTTCTCGATACCTTAGGTAAAATATATAGTCGTCAACAAGAGTTTGCATCTCTATCCCATTTAAGCTTTTGCACTTACATACTTTTCTAGGTTGTGTGCTTTATATTCCTAGTTTAGCTTGCTAGGTTAGTGATAGGAATCAAACCTAGGATGCAAAACTCTTTTGTGGTAGAGATAGCAACTCTTAGCAAAACCGTAATGCACATTTAGATAAATATCTTGCATAGGTTTTAATAAGTAAAAAATAAAATCCTATAGTTTAGTTTTAAGTTGCCTAATTCACCTCTCCTCTTAGACTTCACGATCCTCAGGGTGGACCTAAACAAAATTTGGTTTGTTCCAAATCCTTCGTCTCAAATTTTGTCTTTAAAGGATCACATGCTTTTGTTGATATCCTGTGGGTTTACAATGATATTTAAATCATCCACGTATACTGATGTAATACAAAATTGCGTTTGAGATTTCTTTACAAAAACACATGGATAGTCATCATTATCGGTGTGCTCCTTTGGTAAAAGGAATTCAATTAGTTGGTTGTGCTACATTTGTCCTAACTCAATTAAGCCATATAGTGACTTATACAATTTTACATAATACATGGTGCTACTTGCATTATGGTCGCAATAGAGATTCTATTAGGAACCTTCATGTTAATATCCAAATCAAGTGGCCTATATAAGTATGTCATCTATACATCCATCAACTGTAAAGATAAATGATTCTGAACTAATAGTTGTATTGAATATAGGAATGTTATTCCACTTATAACCGGGGATAGATTTGATTGAAATCAAATGTTGAGTTTCTAGGCAAACCCTTGTGCTACTAGTCTTACTTTATATCTCACCACCTCATTGTTTTCATTCCATTTTCACATGAAACCCATTTGAATCCCACATGAAAGACTTTTAAAGGTGTATGTAACACCCTAGACTTTATTTTCCTAATTAGCAAATAATTTTCCTTTTTTATTCAATTTTTTATGTTTTAACATAGGGCAAATAATATATTTTTATGAAATTAAATATAAGGCTTGGAAATATTTTTGTTGCGTACATGATGGTGCATATTTGATTGCTTTGGTAGACTAGTTTTGCATGAAATTCAACTTGAAAACCGGTAAAAAGAAAAGGAATTTTGTTTATCTTCTTCCCCTTTTCTGCTTTTCAAACCAACAACTAATCTAGCCCAACTCGCTTTTTTCTTTTTGAATAAAATGCACCACAGGTTCATTAACTTTTAAGAGGGATGTCATCTAGGTCCATCAACTCTCAAAGTGCATTTTTGGGTCCCTAAACTTTTTATGTTATGCACCGCAGGTCCATACCGGTTCGAAAGCTTGATACTTTTTCATTGATCCCCTTCCCTTCTATAACTCTTCTTCAAAATAGCCCCAATAGAGAGAACCTGATCAGGTGGCCGCGCCTGCAGCCCTGTCGTTGCCAGGCCATCGGACCAGCCACGACGTGCCCGTGCAAGGCGGGCTCGAACCTAGGCTGGTGGCCGTGCCCGGTAGCCATGCGGCCACACCATCGCTGAGCGAGTGGGCAGCCACGCGAGGCCAGCCACGTTGTCGCGTGCAAGCCACCAGCACGCCAGGCAGCCAGGCTGCCGCTACCTGAGCAAGCAGGCAGCCGCGCAGAGCCACCCAAGGCCAATCTCAACGTCCTCGCAACAATAGCCAATGCCGACAACTCATTCTACGCAGGCTGTCTAAACAACATGAACGCGCGCCGCCACCGCCGCTATGTCCACAGGGTTCGCCACGAACACCACCGGCACCACGCCCCGACCAGACGTACGGCCTCACGTAGTGCCACGCTGACATGAACCCGTCAGACTGCCGCGCATGCCTTGATGGCTTGACGCAGGACATGGCCCGAGTGTGCCCTGGCTAGAAGAGCACCATACTCATCTATGACGCATGCCAGCTACAACACTTCATTGCGAGCTTCTTCAGTGTCGTCGATCGCGCCAGTGGTGGTCTCCTTGGTGAACTCGCAGAACGTGATGCAGCAAGAGCAGTTCAC